TTCTCCAGTGTTCCTATTGCTTCCCTTAAGTGCAGTCTGTTCTGTATTTTCAAAGCACAGAATCAGTTTGGTTAAATGTTTTACCTCTAACTAAGTTCATCAATTATTTTAGCCTCAGGAAGATAATCCTTGCTAATCCTGTCTCCTGCAGTTTTCAGGATTTGTCATTTGAAATTTAGGTATCAGAGTTCTTTATGGAAAATGAGAGAACTCATTCTAGCAAAGGAATTTGCAAAAAAAAAAAAAAAAACAAGCTAGTCAACAGAATCTCCAGACCCACTGCTACATAACACATATACCACCAGGGATGACCAGGTCTGTTGCTGTCACCAACCAATGACCCTCAACAAAGTGAAGATGGACTCTTCAAAAAGTTCTCACCAGCTAAAATCTTAATCTGATCAAAAGATTCCAAGTACACACCTATAACCTAACACATCAGTTTGTTCAAATTAAACTAGTCATCACAACATTCAGCACAGCACAGTCAACTCACGAAGGTTATCTGCATAAATTTCTACACCCCTAATTCTACAGATAGAGCTATCTACTTTAGGGCTACTTTTGATTATTACTGTCTACGAAATGTTCAATTATTGAATCCACTTTTTTTGTGGTACTGGGGCTTGAACTCAGGGCTGTCACCTTAAGCCACTCCATCAACCCAATTTTTGTGAAGGGTTTATTGAGATAGGATCCTGTGAACTATTTGCCTAGGCTGGCTTCGAACCATGATCCTCCTAATCTCTGCCTCCTGAGTAGCTAAGATTACAGGTGTGAGCCATCAGAGCCCAGCAACTTTTATTCTTTAAACTTACTTAAAATATTTTATTACAAAGCTCATCTTAATTAAATTTTATACAGTAAAATACCATAAAAGATAAATTATTTTATTTATTAGATAAAATATAAAATCCTTTTTTTAAAAAAAGGGCCAGGAAGCCAGGCATTGGTGGCTCATGCTATAACCTTATCTACTTGGGAGGTTGAGACATGCACAAATGGTTCATAAGACTCTAAACCGTAGCAAATGGACTGGAGGTGTGGCTCACTCATCTGTTTTGCAAGTTCAAAGTCCTGAATTCAAACCCAAGTCCCATTAAAAAAAAAAAAAATGGCCAGAATATTCCTTGTGTCCCCAAAACAAGTCCATGGATATAAAGAAATGCTGAGTTCTCTTCCCCTTAAGGAAAGACACTATGCTTTTATGTCATACTAACCTAAAGGGAAAACAGGCAGATTTCTTGTTAGTTCAAGAAAGTCACATGTAATATTAGGGAAAGAAAGGAACAGAACACAGGGGTACTTTATTCTTCCTTTTTTTTCTTTTGTTTGGGGACAATGTCTCACTATGTACCCTGGGCTGGCGCTCAACTCAAGATCCCCTTAACTCAGCCTTAATGTTTGGATTAGAAAGGTGTATGCAGCTACACCCAGCAGGAGAAGTATTTTCTTAAAAAACCTCTTGCCCTTGTAAAGAACCTTAGTACCAAATATTTTCATGTTTTCTTTTTTTGTGGTCCTGTTAAATTTTTAAGACATCTTTATCACTGTGCTTCACAGTACAGTTTTCCACAATTCTATAATTATATTAGTTGGAAATATAATTTAAGTACCTGACATGGCTAAATTTTAAAATAACATACAACAGAATTACCACAATTGCATATTTTGCCATTTTCAAGACATAACTGGGCACACATTTACAATGTACTTGCTAGGTTTTCATTAATGTTTTGATCTACTTGAAAGACTATGCTTAGATCTCTGAAAACAAATGCTAGATTTATAATTTATATACCTGACACTTCCTAAACCTATCACAAACCCTATAGTCTGATTTAGTTTAACAACAAATGATCCATCCAAAAGGTCATGGTACCGCTGGAGGTGTGGCTCAAGCAGTAGAATGCCTGCCTAGCAAACATGAAGCCCCGAGTTCAAACCCCAGAGCCGCAAAAACAAAACAAAACAAAACAAAAAACCCAAACAGATCATGGTAAACTCAATTTGCCAATCTTTGTTTAGATTTGTAAAGAATTTTTTCTATGATGGGAGTCATACTGAAAAAAAAAAACAAAAAACAAAAAAACCTAAGAACTTCTCTGTTAGAGAAGGTAGAGATTTTCAACTTTGGTAGACTGCCAAGATGATACTTTATTATAGAATTCATGAAGCAACAGTTCAGTGACTTGCAGGCTTTATTAGAAGGAAAGAAGAGAAAAAGAATAATTTAATACAAACTCCATGTTCTAAAATTCTCTAGATTTTTTTTTTAGTGCAAGATATGCTGCATCACTAAAGCACTTGAGAATTACCATAAAATCCCAGCAAAATATAATCAACCCGAAAGCAGCAATAAGAAAAACAAGAGGCACACAGATATTTTTAAAGGATTTTATACTATATTAAAAAAACCACAAAATAAAAAAGGGTTCAATCAACATATATCTTAGAAGTCCTTCCAAGAGTCCGAGTATCCAACAGCCCTGGAGGCTGCGGCCCTTTTCACTGTTCAGTTTGCAGCTTATTTAAGGATCATCAGAGATGGCTCTAGTTCTCAAAATCAAACTTGTTCTGCCAAATCCAAGACCCTGAACTTATCCAAATTGTAGAAACATGCTTTTACCACCCGTCCACCAAAATACCTCCATTCAGATCAACAACAGCTAAAAGGCAAACAAAAAGACAAACAGTTAGCACAGGTATCTTACAAGACATTACAATAGCAATTTAATTAAACAATAGCTTTAATATAAATAAATGATAAATTTAACTTAAAGTTTAAGGTCACAAATTCAATTTGTAAAATATCCTTTTTTTTTGGCAGTACTGATGTTTCAACTCAGGGTTTTATGCTTGTTAGGCAAGCACTCTATCATTTGAGCCACACCTCTGATCCTTATAAAATTCTTTCATATTTACTAGTTCAACTTACCTTTAATTGCTGATTCAACTCTCTCAAATTCTAAAAATATTCGTACTGCTTCATCATCAGGGGCACCAGGAATCTGGAAAAGAAAGTAAAGTATGAGGAAAGTTATCATTTGCTATATCACTTGTATTGGGATATTCTAATTATCATCATATATGGATAAGTACAGTCAATTACCAAGGAAATAATACTGAATGTCTGTTTTATGGCACACAGCCACCATGTTAGGGCTGGGAACACACAGCTAAGGAAGGCAGTCTTTGACTTCCTGGAGCTATGCCAGCTGACATGCAAACAAATAATTATGTAAATATCAAAGAGCAGTATGATAAAGAAGCAGCAGCAGAAATTTTAGATAAAAAAGAATTGGTACTCTAATTGCCTTTTACAAAGTGTACATTTTGACTATTTTGTCTAGCTTTCTAGGCCTTCTATAAAATGGCTCTGTTTTATTCATGTACTTAACATCTTCTACTAATTGCCTATAGCCCAACCCTTTCATTTTGGTAGTCCTATTCACTCTCGTTACTGCAATCTAAATACCACCCCCCACCTGTTCATCTCAAAGCTTAGCTCACAAATGTTGTTCTTCACAAAGCCGTCTCTATTTTTTGCTAATCTTTTTCTCAAATCCTGTATTTACAATTAATACCAGTCTAGCAGATGAATATTCTCTTTAGTTATTTTATGTTTGTATTTATTCAAATGAACATATCCCTGAAAGCACAGAACAGGTTTCCTGTATCCTAAATGCTCTCAACACAAAATGTGAGAGGTACTAAAATAAACATTTGCTGAATTATGGAAACTAAAGGCATGTCCAAGTTCACTGAACTACTGGCTACATTTAATCAAAGTCCTAATCACTATACTCAACTTCTAAGGAAACACTTCTATTTCTTCACCAAACAAAATCTGAAATCACTCTCAATTTTATGTTTTAAACCTGGTATTTATGAGAAGTATTAATTAACTGGTATTTGTCACCTTCTGTAGTAAGACAGTGTTACTTACAGCAGTATCATCTCTACTTATAGGAAATGTTTTGTAATTTGTCATTTATAACATAAACAACAACCAAAAAAACCCCTCTTACTTCAAATATCACACATTTTCCAACTTTGCCATATTTTTCACATTCTTCCTTGGTTTCAACTTCCAAGTCTTCATCTACCTCTCCTGCACCAACCATGTTCTAGAAACAAGAAAATTCAAGTACCAAGCATAATTTACAAATGTGCAATAGTTTTAAAAATAAGAATTTCTGTCATAATGGCGTTTTTTTAAACATTAAGTTTTGAAACGAGTTAAAAGGACAACTATGGGCACCAAATCATGTAAGTATAAGTTTAAGCAATTTCAAATGTTTCAAAGTAATTGCTTACAGCACTCTCAATGTATTTAGCAAAGATGCTTACACATCAGTGAAAAGATAACGTAAAATCAGTCTTTCATAGAATCTATCCAAAGGCATTATTTGAAAAAGTATTATTTTCAATTTTCCTTAACTTTTATGATATTGGTGGGGGTAAAACCATGCGAGTGTAGGGTAGGATAGAGTGACACACAAAAGTCAAGGTAAGCAGACAGGTTTCTTTTGGTTCTTACCCTCAGCAAGACCACTTTAGTAGGACACTTAAGTATTTCGGTTAATGGATTTGAATCTGACTTCTTGGATGCATCTGTATTAAAACATATCATCAAATGTGTTACTGAACTATGATTAAATTAATTGTAATAGCAATCCCATCATTTATGTCATAGAGTCATCTAAAAGTATATAATCAGCCCCTGCAATAAAAGCATCTGCTTTGCTCTTGTATGTTTTCTGGAAGTTTCTAGCCTCTACCATAAGTCTTACTTTGGAGACACAGTTTGAGGTCACCATCCCATATAAGAGTAAGAAGCAGTTAATTATCTAGCCACTAAATGACTGACTCCAGATATCACAAATCAGGATAACTTGTTTTGGGAACTAACATTCAGGTGCTTCCTAATATTGTGCAGTAAGTGGGCTGCCAGAAAAGTTGTTTTTTTATTTTAGGACAGGGAATTCAGAAAAGCTGACGCAAAATTAACTCATATTTCTGCTTAAAACGCTAAGATGTTTGTCTCATTCTTCTATGACCTCAGTACAGATTATAAAAATCAAATGAAAATAAAACACCAACTAGGCATCACCAACCAACAGACTACAAAGTCCCATTAGATTTCATAGAGCAAAATCCGTATGAAAATCGGAAACCTCACCTATAATATAATGGCAGGAAAAAAGTAAAGGAGACCTACTAAAGACACATGCAGGTGTAATACAGATACAATGTACATGGCTCTGAACTACATGCTATGAAAACATAAATATTATTTCATCAAGTTAACGAGATTCTTTGTCCAAAGTAGGTATGAAAGTTATTTTCCTCAGGACTGCTTATTTTCTGCCACGCCTCTCATTGTTTCTTCTTCCTACAGGCCTTCATTTTTCTACCTCAGTTCTGAAAAAGATGAACCTCAGAATTCTTGGTTTCACAAAACAGAAATGGAAATACATTATAACCAGAAATTACCATTTGGTGCCGGAGGAAAGGGCTCACCTCTCCTCTGGGCTGCAGATCAATGCTTCTCTGTGAACTTACCCTGAGATTCACCCTTCTCTGTGGCGTCACCCACAATGATCTTGCCACCCCTCTTGCTGGTTTTCTCCACTGACAATGCGGTGCTCAGCCCCTGCTCGTGCTTCCCTAGGCCCTGGCCTTCCCGGAAGCCATACTTCTGCATGATCTTATGTGCTACTGTGCCACTAGGAGAAAGAAAAGGACCTTGCAGTTGACGCCATCAGCAACAGTTAAGTTGGATTTTATATCACAGCAATATCCTTCTGGTGAAAGAAGCTGTAAATTCCACAAGGGCTTTGATGAGATCACATACAATTAACAGTGGATCTTTAGAGAGAAGCTAATGAAGATGTTTATGATGAAAGAAACATAAAAAGCTGATGACTATAATCCAGGACATCCTAAGTTTATTTGTCAGATAATATTACTTCCTCTGATGAAATCTCCCTAGTCTCTGTAAGAAAATACTATACTCTGTGGTCCCTATCTGCAATGCTACATGACTTATAACCACAGTTACTTAAAGCAGTGACCTGGCAAAAAAAAAAAAAACCTAAGCCTGAAGCTTCAGATAAACAAGATGACTATATTTTTCGAAACAGTATAGTTTTCAAAGAAAGAACCTTAGAGAACATCTATTTACCATATGCAATACAAAAACCAAGAGAGTAGGTGACTAATTTCAAGTTAGAAGTAAAGAAAGACGTCTTATTTAAAATTATTTTTATAGGTAATAATGGTAAAATTGAAATAGAACCCAAAACACTTGATTCTAGTCCACAGCTCTTTCTACAACAGGGCACTCTTTCTCACTGCAGTTTGAAGGGCCTGCTGAATGTCAAGGGCACCTCCCAGTGATGACTGCTGCTTAGCCTTAACCACAAAACCCTGCTTCCACTAGAATTGCACTTCCATACTTCATTTTTTATAATTCTTTTTAGATTGTCTTTTGAACAAGCTATTCCCGGGCAAAAAAAGTAAAAATGGCAAACTATATACCACAATGCATCTTTCTTAAGCATAAGCTAATGATCTAACTCATGTATAAAAGGGAACCGAACAGTCAAGTTTTATCCTAAGCAGAGGGAAGAAAACAACCTGAACTCAGCAGCACTTATTAGCACTGTCCAGGAAGACTCACAGCAGTAATGGAAATGTTCGTATACCTGCATAGTCACTATGAGCCATCACTGGTTACTGCACACTTGAAATGAAGTACGTGTGAATAAAGAACTAAAGTTTAAATTTTATTCAAATTAATGTGATAGCCACCTGTGGCTACAGAACAGTGCAGGTCCAAGAGATGGTTAACAGGAATTACCCCAGCCTACTACTCCTACTGACTAATCATGTCCCCTAGGATCGAGAACCAAAGCAGATACAAACAGGAGAGTTAGCTCAGTGTGACTGTCACACTGGCTGGCACACTAGCAGCATTTCTACTACAGGCAGCATCCTGTTAATATAGAACAAAGAAATTAGTGTGATGCTGCTTTATTCAATGGCCCTTTCACAGATTCAGAGTAAACAACATAAAACATTCTGTTAATCACAATGCATGTTCAATCCAACAGTGGGGTTAAAAAAAAAACAAACAAAAAAACCTGTAAGTCCTACCTGAATATCAACCTTTAAAATTGATATTTATACTGTGGCAAACAAGTGTCTAATTATAGTCAGAGTGACCAAGATTTTTTTTGTGTGTTGTTTTTTGTTTTTGTGGTGCTGGGAATAGAACCCAGGGCTTCATACATGTTAGGCCCACTCTTTACCATTGAGATGTATTCCCAGCCCAAACCAAGTTTTTAAACCAAAGATACAAGACCGTGACCTTAAAGCACTCAGCCTGTGGAGATAACCTAAGTCAACTATTAATTCCTATGAGCCATTTTACTTGTAAATGTTATGAAAATACCTATAAATAATTATGAAAAACGGTTTCTATCAAGAGAAGCAATGTTTAACATCGTAATCAGTCAAGACTTGGATTAGAAGGCTTTTCTGTTTTGTACAAAACGATAGCACGTTGGAACACAGTCAATGTGACTTGAACACTAATCCTCAAGCAGGGCTCTGTGTTAGTGAACACACCAAGTAGCTCCCTATAAGCCCAATTGAGTTACATCTAATTGAAAGAGCTATCAACACTTCACACTGTTTCTCAAGTCATTTTTACATTTTCTTAGAAAAAACACTTAAATTATTACCCCATGTTAGCAAGGAAGGAGTTACTGGGCCCAGTGGGAGATCTTGGTCTATCCTGTTCCTCGTACACTGGGGGAGGAATAGCAGCTTTGGAAGACTGTGATCGAGGTCTTGAGTCCTCTTCATATGGAAAATCTCGGGGCACTGTTGGATAAAAAGTACATTTACCAAAATACTGTAAGAAGTATTTGAAATGGCACTTGTATCAATTACTTATCTTGAAGTGATTTAACCTTTTTTTTGCAGTTACTGAGGTTTGGACTCAGGGCCTACATCTTGAGTCATTCTACCAGTCTTTTTTTTGGTGATGAGTTTTTCGAGATAGGGTCTCGTGAACTATTTGGTTGGGCTGGCTTCGAACCCCATTGTCCTGACCATTGCCTCCTGAGTAGCTAGGATCATAGGCATGAGCCACCAGCACTCAGCTACATTTTTGTTTTCAAAGGAGAAAAACAAAACAAAACAATTTTACAGTCTCTATGACTTCTCACCAGAGGCAGAACACTACTTTTAAATTTTTTTTCTTTTTGCAATACTGAGGGGTTGAACTCAGGGCTTTGCATTTACCAGGCAGGTGCTCTACCACTTGAGCCACTCTACCAGTCCTAGAACACAACTTTTTAACTCTAACTTTGCTTCTATTGCTTATATTCCCTCAAATGTCCTCTGTACATCTTATAAAGGTACTTACCCTTTAACATCCTCATTTGAATAATTCTTACCTGAATCCTTAAGATTTTCCCTATGGTCTAAGAACATATAACATAACTCTCATTTGATTCCCACAGTATCTGTGTACCTGTCCTAAGACTCTAAATTATTACCTCTTTAGCCCCATAGACCATGAAGGTCTTTTGAGGTCATGCTATTCACTGAACAGTGGATTTCAACCTAGCTATATGTTAGTATCAACAGAAAGCTTTAAACTATTTGGATGCCTAAGCCCCTTTCTCAAGAGATTGGTTTCAATTGAGGTTTGCTGATCAGTTGTTTTCGGAGAATCGGTATTTAACAATCTTTTAAAAATTATATTCTTGCTGAGCACCAGTGGCTCACACCTGTAATCCTAGCTACACAGGAGGCAGAGATCAGGAGGATTTTGGTTCAAAGCCATCCCTGGGCAAATAGTTCACAAGAACCTACCTCGAAATTACTCAACACAAAAAAAGGACTGGTGGAATGGCTCTAGTGATCGAGTGCCAGTCTAGCAAGTGTGAAGCCCTGAGTTCAAACCCCAGTACCACCATAAAAAAATTTTTTTTAACATCCTTTGAAAAGATAACATAAATACTAAAGAATACTATGGATCACAGTTACTCATTACTGCTTAGGTATGGCTCAACTCAGAGCAGAGGAAAATGATCTAGATGATATACAAAGCTCAATCCCAAGCTCTAGATTCTAGAAGAGCTGTGGGAGAGCAGAAGGTGGGCACATTTTGGCAAACTACTTAAAAAGACACACATCTGCTCTGAAATAGAAAGGGAAAAACAATAATCAAGGAAGACACTGCCCCCTTGTGAAAGGTTGTGAGTATAACAGGATCTAAACCTCTGGATAGAACTGTAAAATATTTACTGTTTTTTAAATTAACTACAAATGAAATCTTGGGGAAAAACAAAACAAAACAAACTGCTTTTAAAAAGAATGTTCCCAGGCTGGTGGAGTGGCTCAAGTGGTAGAGCACCTACCTAGCAAGCATGAGGCCCTGAGTTCAAACCTCAGCTCCTCCAAAAAAAAAAGAAAAAGAATGGGTACAGTGGCTGACATGTGTAATCCCAACTACTCAAGAGGCACAGAATGGAAGGATTCAGTTCAAGCCAACCCAGACAAAAAGTTAATGAGAATCCCTGTCCCCTCCCAACAAATAAGCTGGACGTGACACTGCACTTCTGTAATCCTAGCTATGTGGGAAGCATAAGTGGGATCATGGTTCAAGGCAGGTGGGAATGAAATCCTGAGACCCTATCTGAAAAATAACTACAGCAAAAAGGGCTAGGGGCATGGCTAGAATGGTAGTGTCTAATCCCAGTACTGCAAAAAAAAAAAAAAAAAGTGGGAGAAGTTAAAAAAATTTAAAAAAATGATCTGAGTACCAGGGGCAGAACAGAACAGCAGACCAGCACACTGTAAGCACTGCAGCCTTGGGTCAGAGCCGAGATAGGTCTCCATGCTTAGATTCTCCACAATAGGGTTAAAAATAGGGTTAAAAGGGGGAAGAAAGAAAACTACTTACACTCCTTGTCTTTCTCTACAAGAGAAGTTGGTGGGGCAATGGCAGCTCCTCCCATACCTGCAAAAAACATCAACACAGTGACCGAAGAGGGAAAACCATCTGGTGTATGGCTCAAGTAGCAGAACTCGGGTATAAAACCCCAAGTTCAAACCTTACTACTGCCCCAAATAAGAAATAAAGAAAACCTTTCAGATGCCACTGCAAATATGTGACACACATTATTTGCTCATTTTGTCTTATTGTTCTATCATCCACCCACCCCACTCTCCGGGGTGGGGGGGAAAGACCTGCTACTTCATCCACCCTAACATCTAAGCAATTAAATATAAAGCTAGAACTTAAAATGTAGAAAATTAGCAATACCCAGACAAAATCGTCTTCTCATAAAAGGCATTCAAGAGCCTCAGAATGCAGTCACAAAGTGAATTTTAAAACCAAAATACAAATTATTCAGAACACTAAGTTACATAACAGAGTAACGTAACTACTATGAGTCTGCCACCCATCAGGTGCTCGTACTACATGACCTCATCTAGGCTTCTGAAACCTTGGCATAGGTAATTACTGTTACAGTTGAGAAAATGATCAGGAAAGCAATCAGCAGAAATGGAATCAATCCAGTCCTCTATGATGCCAAAGTTATTTCCCAGCACACAGCATGCTCCTTCACCAGGTGCAAGGCACTGAAATTGAACACCTATTTGGAAGCCAGAATCCTGGCTTCTAAGGCTCCTATTGTATACACTGTCATTATTCTTGTTGGTATTTACTTGAGTAGAAAATGTGGACACAAGCACACCAGAAAACAAGAGAAATATTTTCCATTTGCCATCTGACAACTGGAGGGAGGAGGACATGAGAGGATATTATAGGAAAATTTTCATTTAGCTATGAACCCTAAAATATGCACCAGAGGACGGAAATGGAAACACACACTTGAAATTCTAGTACTCTGGGAGGTGAGGCAGATGTATTGTGACTTCAAGGCCAGTGTGGGCTACTACATAGCTGGATTTAGGCCAGCTAGTGAGACCCTGTATCAATGTTCCCCTCCCCATGTGTTATAGCTTAGTAACAAATGAAATAATAAAATGTAAGTTAAAATTGGTTACAAAATCATGCTGCATCAGTATTTCGCAAAAGAAATTAAAGCCACTATATAGATCATTATAATTAACAGTCTGGGTGATATAAATTACCTAAGGAGAAATATGAACCTGAAAAAAATCTTACATTTCTTTTGAAATATTTCCTATGATCATTTTTCAAAATCTTATCATTATTGATGAGTGATTACTGATGTACTCTGAACCCAATATATATTGTTTTTTTACTATACACACATACTTATGATACTTTAATTTATAAATTAAGCACAATGAGAGGTTAGCAACAAAAACAACATACTCTGATAAAAGTTATGTGAATATGGTGCCTCAGAGTATCTTATCATGCTATGAGAGATAACTGAAACTTCAGAAAGCAAAATCAGATGGGGGGACACTATACGACATAGTTATAATGCCACTATTTCCCTAAGGTTAATTACAAGGTCAAATACAAAGTCTTTATTAAAGCTTTATAGTTCCCACTAATATTTAGGAGAAAAATAAATGTCCTTATTATAGAGAACGCACATCTTTACAAAAAGCAGTCCATTTACAGGCTGGAAAGATGAGACCTACAAATATTCAGCCTATAGAACATGTTAATTTGGGCTGGAATAGTGGCTCAAGTGGTAGACAGCCTGCTTAGCAAAGTGCAAGGCCCTGAGTTCAACCCCCAGTACCGCCAATGACAAAAACAAACCATGCTAATAAAAACCAAATAGTTATTAACTAAGACAATGGATATGAAATGTGTAACTGCCTGACATACAGACTCACTCAATAAATGTTAACATTCCTCCTCATTAAAAAATAATGTAGTGCCTAACAATGCTTGACATAGTAGGTATTCTACAAATACATTTAATTCACATGTGTATTTAAAGGTTAAAAATTTAAAATCATAAACGTGTTGTTTTTCCAACTTAGGAAGAACTTTTAAAATTTAAATCACACTCTGAAGCAGCCTTTGGTGTACACTTAGGATGACCATCTCACCAAACTGCTAGTCATAAAAAGAACTGCATATATAGAAATATGACAAGTTTTGTGACGTTATTCTTAGGTTCTGTGTTAAAAATTATTACATCAAGGATTTCAGGCAAATAAAGATCATGGATAAGATAAAAAGTATACCTGCATTATACACAAAGTACTCGTGTCTGTGTTTCATGTTTCTTAGCCTTAAAAGTGGGGAAGGCTAGGGCTGGTGGAGTGACTCAAGTGATAAAGCACCTGCCTAGTAAAATCTAGCAAGTGTGAGGCCCTGAGTTCAAGCCCTAGTCCTGCCAAAAAAAATTTATATTAAAATTGGGGAAGGCAACAGAGTCTGCTCAGAGTTGTAAAGGTTAAAGGAAATAATCTATGTGAATGCTCAGAACGGTACCTTGTATCTAGCAGACAAGTAGTAGATTCAAATTCTTCATTTAAATCTCAATTTGTCGACTCTGTGTCAACCACAGCAGTCCACTAAAATCCCAGCAATCACAACATCATGAAGTTAAAATAAGCATCCCATTCTTTTAATTCCCACTAGATACTGCTAGGAATTGTTAAGAATTTATTTCAAACGTAATTCCAACTCTGCTTATAAGACTGTAGAGATAGATGGAAGGGACTTTACAAAGCACTCTGCAAATTTCTGTCTCTGCTCTCCTATGCAACAAGTGAAGCAACTTGCAGAGACGAAGTGGTTTCCTTAAGCCCACTCAAGTTGGTAACACACATGCTCTAGAGCTGGTACCTTGATTGGTCATCCAGTGTTGGCAGAAATGCAGGGAGACTTAGAGAAGAGGCAAATGTGAATGTGTTGCAGTTAAGGAAAAGTACAGGAACAGATTTTATGCTATCTTCAAAATATGTAGTAAGTAAATGCTAGAAAATCCTTCTGAAGCGCAAACACAATATGTATTGCAGCCATTATGCTGGGATTCTAGAGAAAAACTTAGCCAAATCACTGTCAAATGAATTATTTATCAAATTGAATATGAAAAGCAAACCCTGAGATTGTGCCAGGTCTGAACATTTATGCTCACGCCTTACTTCTTTTCCTCCTCTCTCGCTCATAATCTTCATCTTCATCAGAATCTGGATCTGGTCGCCTTGAAAACCCACTAGCTTCATGTCTGTCTTTACGTCTCCTGCAACAACAAAGAAATAAATATGCATCACAAATGAAGCAGTTTGGAGATATGAAAGATATGAAGATGGGATGTCACCTTGACTTCCTCTTGGCCAGAAAATAGCCAAATCCTCCTTCACAATTTTTAATTTGTATATGTCCAGAGGGGGTGGACACAACTGCCTAAGGACCGAAGTCGAAATAGCATGAAATGTAAGAAAACTCAAAATAAACTGACCAAACAGGTATAATAATAAAACTCACAAGAAAAAGTTTTCTTGACATTTAACTTTTGATTTTAAAGCCTATCAACATAGTTACAGTTTAATGATTTCAATTCTCTAGGTGACATATTCACTCATGAGTCAATAAATGGCAAAAAGTACATTGATATTTAATACATATTATAATGTTAAAAACTTCAGAAAGAAAAAATACACATAAATTCAATTACCCATCCTTTTCAAAAACAAACAAAAAGATACATATAAGTTTTAAAAAATTCCATCTTGTTCAAAAATAGTGAAGTTAATGAGCCAGGTGCGGTGGCTCATGCCTATAATCCTGCTACTTGGGAGGCAGAGACAGGAAGGATCTTGGTCTGCAGTTTGTCAGGGTAAAAACTCGAGACCCTACTTCAAAAATAACTAAAAGCAAAACAAAACAAAACAACATTCCCTCCCCCCAAAAAACAAAACAAATATTTTTAAATAGTTCTAACTCTAAAAGTTCACAGAACAGGGAAAAACTTTTAACTTCAGGTTTTTAAGTTATTTTTCTAACTTACCCTAAGTTTAGGCTTTCAGAGTCTATGAAGAAATTTGCTCAAGTTTGTTGTCAGAGTTGAATGTAACAACTATCAATTTTTTGAGGGGGTGGGTGTGAGACTGGGGTTTGAACTCAGGGGGGTTTCACTCTTGAAAAGTGGAGATCTACCAATTGAGACATACCTTCAGTCCATTAATTTTGCTCTGGTTATTTTGGGGATGGGGTCTCTTGAACTACTTGCCTAGGGTGGCCTCTAACCTTGATCCTCCTGATCTCAGCCTCCCAAGTAGCTAGGATTCCAGGTGTGAGCCACTAATCCCCAGCATAACAACTACTATTTCTTAAAAACACATTCCTTCTGTTGTATGAACCATAACTAACTTCTGCCCTAGACACAGCACTAAAGTTCATTAATACTCTAATGAATGTTTCAACTGCAAAATATTCCCAAATCCAAACGAAGCCTTACTTTTCCCTTTCTTCTATTTCCTTCTGTCTTTCCAGCTCCCGCTGCCTCTGTCGCTCCTCTCTTTGGCGCTTCACTACTTTTTCATAATCATTAGGAAACATAGGATCATATTCGTCAGCTAAGGGAATCAGAACTTCACCCGCAGAAAACCCACTGGGAACGGGGGTCCTAAAGAAGGTAAAAACGTTCAAGTAAGTATCACGTTCATCTCTCACAAGTTCACTCATGGAATTAAGGAAGGAATGAGACAAAAGAGGCCTTGAAGATCAACACCCCCCCCCCCATTTTATACATGAGGAAACAAAGGCCTGAGGAGGTCATACCTCACCTGCAGTAGCAGAACCTTGATAAAGAACTTTCCTTCTTAGTTTAGCACTATTTCTGTACGCCCCTATGGCATTTATCTGGAACTCTTACATAATGAAATCAGTAACTAAAATTTAAGAAACCAGCATTTGCAAGCAAAGAAAAAAAATATTTACAAAAAAGCATTGAACTTAAAAAGACAAAAAACAAAACAAAATAAAACAAAACAAAAAAACCCCATGAACAGCACAATAATTCTCATAGCATTCATTTAGAATAACTTTAGACTCTGACTGCATGGAAGTAACAGTATACGACACATTACAATTTTAGAAAGCATCATCTCAGTCTTTTAAAAAATCTTCTAGAACACATATACCTTCCAAATAGGCTGTATTTCGGTATTTCAGGAACTGATTCTGACACGAGTGGATACAATTCCCTTCTAAGCATTGTTTTTTATTTTATTTTTTGCAGGGGGGGCATGCAGGGGGAAGCGGTGCGGGGATTTGAACTCAAGAGTTTCCTACTTGCTAGGCCAACGCTCTACTGCTTGAGCCACACCCCCAGTCCATTTTGCTCCGGTTGTTTTGGAGATAGGGTCTTGGTTTTTGCCCAGGCTAGCCTGGACTGAGATCCCCCTATTTTATGCTATCCACTATCGCTAGGATGACAGGCACACCCTACCATGCCCAGCTTGTTTTCAATCAGGCTGAGATGTGGTTTCGCAAACTTTTTTGCCTAGGCTGGCCTGAAACCACAATCCTCTGGATCTTAGCTTCCCCCATAGCGTGGAATAACAGGTGCTTGCTACTACACCCAGATATTGATTGAGATGGGGTCTTGCAAAGTTTTTGCCCCAGCTGGCCCCCAACCTCAATTCTCCTGATCTCAGCCTCTCAAGTAGTTAGGATTACAGGTGTCCAGCTGCACCATAATTTTTTTAAGATCCACTAAAATCAGGTTCAGATGACAACATTTCACATTTCTTCTAGAAAACTGAACTTGTCTTTGAGAGAAAAAGAGGTAGCATTAACAAAGAAACTAGAAGCCAGGTGTGGTGGTACATACCTATAATCTCAGTTACTCAGGAGGAAGAGGTAAGAGGATCATGTGATTGAGGCCAGTCTGGGCAAAGTTAGCAAGACCCTGTCTCAAAGACAAAAATACAAACAAAAACGCTGGGGGCATGACTCACGTGGTAGAGCTCTTGCCTAACATGCAACAGGCGCTGGGTCAAATGCCTAGTACCACAATAAATGGGGGGAGGGGGAGGAAGGCAGAATACAATTAATAAGAAAACTGTGATTAGAAACCACTTTTTCTCTGGGTTTGGTCCTGATCCAACTTTCTTTCCTAAGCCTTCATGCTTTGTTCTGCTAACTTTCTTAGCATAACTCTTCCTTACTGTCTGTAAAAACAAAATGTTTTCACTGATTTACTAGGATAACTTGACAAGCATGGGTTAAGATTAGTGTCCTTGAGTGCCCAGTCTATACCTCTTTCATGAAGTACACTGCACTGTAATAGTATCAGAGGCGAGAAAATTGTTTGTAAAACATAACTCGTATTGTAATACAAAACAGACATGATCAAGACCACTTATGTTTAATATCAACAGATCTAAATTTAACTATTCCTGTATTCTGCTGTTTGATTTGACATTTTGAGTCATAAAACAAATATTTCATCATTTCCTTATGACTAAAAATCAAAACCCCTTTTGATCTAATAAATAAAAGCAATTATGAAAACAATAATAATCACCTCTCAGGCCCTATCATTAGAAAATGAATTTAAATCAAAGATTTATTATGAATTTGTATTCAAAGGAAAGACTTTCCAAGCACAGGAGCACATGAAAGAAATTTCAATTACTAACACTACAGAGAAACCAACATTAGCTCTGCTATATAACACTATTTGCATAATGTATCTAAGAGAACAAATTGTCAGCATGGTTAATTCTTTGTTATCTTAAAAATCTGAAAAGAAACAACTTTTACTGTGTAAATCCTGCTAAACAACGAACCATCCTTTTCTAAATGCTACAGAGAATAAAGAAGTTTGCTCAATTTTTAAAAATTAGAATTCTAGCTGGGTGCTGGTGGCTCACACCTGTAATCCTAGCTACTCAGGAGGCAGAGATCAGGAGGATCACAGTTCGAAGCCAACCTGGGCAAATAGTTCTTAAGACCGTATCTGGAAAATACTCAACACAAATAAGGGCTGGCGAAGTGGCTCAAGTGGCAGAACACCTGCCTCCCTAGCAAGCATGAGGCCCTGAGTTCAAACCCCAGAACCACAAGTAAGTAAATAAAATTCTAAGTTCCTAGTAAAGAGTGGGATAAAACTAAAATACTCACATATCGTACGTAGGTGACACTGTCTATTGCTGGAAACAAGTTAGTGCTAAAACAAATTGGTTGTAAAAATGATTTCTTAATGTTGCCTCAGGAAACCTAAGAAAATACTCTACATGCATACAAAGTTCTCTGTAGAAATGTTTATTACAGGTTTAATGAAATGACAATGATATAGCAGATCTAGATGGTTCCACGGTTAGGGAATGCTTATGCAAATCATGACATGTTCACTTGACTGGTATATTTTATAATTAAAAGCTAGCCATGAAAGCTATGTAACAAGACAAAAATGGCTTACTGATAAAAATGGGAGAACAATGCTACAGGTATTAGAATCAATATACAATCACGGAACCAGTTTTTAATTATGTGAAGTGAAAAAAACTGGGCAGCCTTAACGCAGAGAAAACTAAAGCAGATACCTTAAAAGCAACTGAGGCCAATAGGAAAAGGGAACAGGAACTAGAGAAAAGGTTAGATCAAAAAGACTAACCTAGAAGGTAACACACACGCACAGGAATTAATGTGAGTCAACTCTCTGTATAGCTATCCTTATCTCAACCAGCAAAACCCTTGTTCCTTCCTATTATTGCTTACACTCTCTCTACAACAAAATTAGAAATAAGGGCAAAATAGTTTCTGCTGGGTATTGAGGGGGTGGGGGGGAGAGGGAGGGGGCGGAATGGGTGGTAAGGGAGGGGGTGGGGGCAGGGGGGAGAAATATATGAATAATAAAAGAAAAAAAAAAAAACTGGGCAGCAAATTTATGGCAAAAAATATAAAATGACTAAAAATCAGCCAAAAAGACCTCTGCTGGGGGATGCCTTTCCTCAAGGGACTATTTGTCCTCAGGAACAGCACCATCAACTGTGGCCAGAAAAGCTGTGAGAGCTAAGTTGTAGCTTGCCCAGAATAAGAACAAGGAGCCAAACTCTTGATGTCAGAGATAACAAAGGGAGGGGGCATGCAGCTGGGACTGTGCTTAGCCTGATGGGTCTTTCTTAAGGGATGTAACGATGACACATGGACCACTGGACCACAGCAGGAATGCCTTGCTAAGAAAGTCAACAATAATAGCATTATCTGTTGATCTTTTAGTTGTTTTTATCAAGCAATTTCATGAAATACAGTGTTGTTTAAACTACCAATCATATCATCTGAAAGCTATTTGTAGACTAGACAGATAAATGTATACCTAAATAATGGGTATGATTTTAAATATAGTTCGTATCGAATTCATTTGTACTTCTTACTATCGAGTGTTAACTGTGATTCTGGGTTATTGTTTTCCAGATATTCCTCATTATCATTAACCCATCTTATTTAGAAGCCCTGCCCATTTCTTTGTTTTTAAGCTATGTAAACTCACTGGGATACTAAAGGTTAGGGTGTTAGAAGTGTTTTGGTATTTTCCTTTTTTTTTAAAAGCCCCTTTCTCTATTTTAATCCAAAATAAGTTAAAGAACAGAAGGCAGAGGAGCCACAGAATAGAAAGATATTCCAAAATATGTAATTTTAATTTCTGGAGGGTAGGATTGAAAAGTTATGTTTTTCTTTTTGTACATCTCTAGTATCTTTAATAGGCAAATGTTCTAAACTGATAAAACAAGTAAAAGAATCAAATTGGAAAAAATACCGACCAGATATCAAAGGCCGATTGAGGAGACAATCTGGTACGAGTCACAGATACAGCAAATGAACTGTTCAGAAAGCAGGAAAGCAAGTAAGGTCACAGGCATGTGCAGACCTACCTTCAGTCCAGCCGCTACATGCGGTGGTGTGTCCACAATTTGCCGGTCGTCTGAGGAGCCACCTCGCTTCAGGTCAATGACTGGGGCAAGTATGTGCTTTGTTTTGTCCTTTGGCTCTGCAATCAGAAACCAAAGAAGTATACCAAAGTTTCAAGTTAAAATTCGTATTAGTTGCAACAAGATTTTTTTTCTGGTTTCTCACAACCTTTGAAATAATCTTAAAATGACAATCTTTTAATCCAATCATTATTACAATCTATATACTATTTCTGTAGTCTTTAAAAGAAAGTTCTACATTGGATTTTCTCTTTAACCACACAGGAGGGAAAATCTGCAGCATACTACTTTTAACTTATGTGGATCCTTCACAAGGAATGGGCATGGTTTGATAACCTGGGCAAAAGACACTGGGAATTAGGGCTCCATCCCCCACCTACCCTCCTACAAGAATATACAGTTCTTATTATGAACCTTCCCGTAAAAATTTTTAAAAGAAAACCATGACCATTCATCCACATCCAACCATTGTTAACATTGTGCCATATTTTCTTGACCCAATACCATTTTTGCTGAACCATTTGAAAGAAAGGTGTAGACATCACCTTTTGCACTGATCCCTTAAAATTATGGACATTGCTCTACACAAACCATGATGCTATTATTACTACAATAAGCCCACTGTATCATTTCCTATTCAGTTGATATTCACATTCCTAAACTGTCCTCAAAATCTATTTTATGCTTTAGGTTTTCTTTCTCCTTTCTAGCCATCCATCCTTTTGAGAAAGAATCTCACTATGTTGCACAGGCTGGCTTGAACTTTGGATTCTCCTGCCTGTCTCCCCAGTGCTAGGATTACAGACATGTGCCACTACGCCTAGCCTCAATATGTATTTTAAACAGCTGACCTTTTTGGAATAAGGATCCTACCAAAGTTCCCAAATTCATCTGATTCAAAAGTGTCTTTTTATTTCCTCTTACATTGTCTTATAGAATGCAGCACACTCTAGTTTTGTCTAAAAACTTCCTTGTGGTCTAGTTTAAACATATTCTTCTGCCCTCTATAATTCCTAATAACTGGAAGTTGAAGGCTTGCTTTGATTCAGGATTTGCCTTTAGACAAATATCCACAGTGAGGCAATGTACTTCATCCTACATCATATCAGCCAGCATAGCAATCAGATTATCTATTACTGATATTAAGGCTGATCACATGGGTATGGAGGTGACTTGCAGAACTTTTCAATTATAAAGGTTTCATTTTTTTCCTTTTGCAATTTAAAGTGTTACAAATTTTCATTCTCTAAGTAAGTCTTTGTGCAATATAATAATGTTTATAAATTTAAGCAAACAAAATTTAATCCAGGGCTGGAGGTATATGGTTCAAGTGGTAGAACCCCAGCCTAATAAGCGCAAGGCCCTAAGTTCAAACCTCAGTACCTGCTGAAACAAACATCATAAAATATACAACTCACAAAGTGAAGCTGAAGTTTAATGGACAATGTGGGGATTATTGGAATCATGTATTTTCTATTTTTTTTTTTTCTATTCAGTATATACTTCAAAAACTGTTACAAACGAAATCACAGCTCCATCTTTCAGCTACAGGTAAAATTTTCTCTACCAAATACTTTTACAGATTTGGGAAGGTGAAATAGTACTAAGTAATTCACTAAACAGACCAAGAGAAATCAATGCAATGGAGCTTCACTTCCCTTCCAGGAAAACAAAACAGTACTAAAAGCATATGTAGCAGTCTTAAACTTAGTATTAGAAAGTTAGCAGTGATTGTTTGATTGTTTCATAGGTAACTTTTTATTTTGATCAATTAAAATCTATTTGCTATCAAGAGATCTAATAGCCAACATTAAAATATTTAGAATTTACCAGAATATCAGGGCTATGACTACAAAAATCAGCATTTTTAACAAGTTCTCAATCTCAGACATACTATAGTTTAAAAACAGTGCTACTCTATTCACAATAGCCAAGTTATGGAAACAGCCAAGATGCCCCACTGACGAATGGATTAAGAAAATGTGGTATCTATACACAATGGAATTTTATGCAGCCATGAAGAAGAACGAAATGTTATCATTCGCTGGTAAATGGATGGAATTGGAGAACATCATTCTGAGTGAGGTTAGCCTGGCCCAAAAGACCAAAAATCGTATGTTCTCCCTCATATATGGACATTAGATCAAGGGCAAACACAACAAGGGATTGGACTATGAGCACATGATAAAAGCGAGAGCACACAAGGGAGGGGTGAGGATAGGTAAGACACCTAAAAAACTAGCTAGCATTTGTTGCCCTTAACGCAGAGAAACTAAAGCAGATACCTTAAAGCAACTGAGGCCAATAGGAAAAGGGGACCAGGAACTAGAGAAAAGGTGAGATCAAAAAGAATTAACCTAGAAGGTAACACCCACGCACAGGAAATCAATGTGAGTCAATCCCTGTATAGCTATCCTTATCTCAACCAGCAAAAACCCTTGTTCCTTCCTATTATTGCTTATACTCTCTCTACAACAAAATTAGAAATAAGGGCAAAATAGTTTCTGCTGGGTATTGAGGGGGGGGAGAGGAGGGGGCGGAGTGGGTGGTAAGGGAGGGGTGGGGGGGGGGAGAAATGAACCAAGCCTTGTATGCACATATGGAATAATAAAAGAAAAAAAAGATGATAAAAAAAAAAAAAAAACAACAGTGCTACTGCTGGAAGTTGAGAGCACTGTTTTCCTTCACTCTTTTTCATTTTATATTTCCAAGAGTCAGGAGAAGCACAGCAATCTAAACTCTTCATTCCTCTCCTCAGTAAAAAGGCTAAAGGGCAAGCTAAAACCAAACTATGTGTAATCCAAACGAGAAACCTTCCTGCAGAGTTCTCTCACACTCTGGACTTCTTTACCTTTGCTTGTGTGAGAGCTGCCTTCTTCACCTGAAGCTGAGACTGCAGAAGTTTGAAGTTTTTGGACCAGCCTTCTGTTTTTGAGTCACTGGTTTCCACTCCCAGGTCATCATATAGGGACATCTTCTTTTCAGTTTACTGCTGAAAGGTAAGCGGGGAAGATTAAAGAATGCAAAATACAGCAAAGAGCTTGAACCTTTGCATGTTAAAATAACAAGCATCATTGAATTTTAAAGGTAAAAGGTCCAGGACCCTTCAACAACAGAAGCCAAGACCCTTGATAGCACCACCAAGCTACACTTAAGAATTATTTTTATGAGTAAAATCTTTCCGTTCTAAAGTTTTAGATTGGGGCATTACTATAACTACATGTATCAGTTAAAAATTGCCATTTATCTCAATGGCAAAATTAGAAGTCTTACAAAAACGACAATTACCAGGTTGGCTCATCATAGGTAGCTACCCTTTTCTAAGGAAAAAACACTTCTAGAAAAAAGAAAAAGATGACGGAAGTGATCTCACGGATTCTGTGATTTTGTAAATTATGATCATCTGTTGAGGTAAGAGCAGTAAATGAGCTCTATCTCTGGCTTCCTCTTAGCCTGAGACAATCACCAAATAGTCTCTATGTGAATGACAATTATAACCTTGCAAAAATAGTGGGATACATGACAAATCGGCAAAAATTAACACCTGCTAAAGCCTTGTTAGGCTAGGAATGCTGTTAAATGGAGCATCTACAACAGGTACATTAAAACCCAGCTCTTTACAAATGTGTAAACTGGAGCTAAGGGGATTGATAGACCCACACTCATAGTGGGAACCCTCTTTCCAGCCAGCCTGGCTAACCAGTGCTCTTACTAGTACATCCCAAATGCCATCTTTAAAACAATCTCAACTTTTAAAACCTCACCAACATAGCCCATTTCTTAAAATAAGAAATCAATCTTTCTCACAGACAGAAAGAGGAGAAAAAATTAAATTGAATCACAAACTGCAAGTAAATGCAGCATGGTAGTTCCAAAGTACTACTTTTACATTCTAAAGTCTGTCAGTTCTCAGAGGCCCCAAAAGCATTTTCCCACAGAAACTGTTTTATACAAAATCCTACTTTGCTTGTGTGCTGTGATTCACAGGAGAAAGTGATGCACAAAAGGAAAATATTTACAGCTCCCACCCCGACACAGCTGGGGTCTGACTCAGAGCAAACACTTCCCTTTAGTGCATTCTTACTCCCCAGCCCTCCCATTAAGGGTATTCCAGGGCCTGCAACCTCAACACCTTTTCTGACCTTAGTTTCACGTGGATAGAGAACAGAGAGTGCACATGGACTTTTATTCTCTCAGACCGCTGCTCTGATCCCAAGTGCAGTAACTCCCTGACTGAAGTCAGTGCCCAGATACTGTGTGCTGCCTTTCCTGGTTTCTATCATTTCTTCATCCATGAACCCTGAGATTTACTCAAAACCTCTCCATTTTTATATTCATTTAGCCAGTACTGGGGTTTTGAGGCAAAACTCTTACCACTCGAACCATGCCACTTTATTGTAGTTTTCAGATAGGGTCTTGCATTTTTGCCTGGGGCCTGCCTAGACCATGATCCTCCTACCTACCCCTGCATAGCTGTGATTACACATGTATACACACCAGGCCCGACTTGTCTGTTGAGAAAGGGGGGGGCCTCGTTAACTTTCTGCCTGGGTTGGCACCAAATGGAGATCTTTCAGATCTCTCACTTCTGAGTAGTTGGCATTACAGGTAGAGTCCCTCTATTTTCATTTGTAAGGGAAGGCCACCAAGGTAGCAGAGAAGCAGGGTTTATAAAAGTAGAGCACCTGGAGTACTGGTGGCTGACCACTCCCTGAGCATTTAAGGAATGGAGGATTGCCTATAGGTTCTCCTTGTTAAGGCTTCTGTAAGGACTCACCAACTCAGCAAATAACAGCAGGCAGGCTCACTGCCTGCTTCAGTGTCCAAGTCAACGTCTGATTCAGGAATCTGGAGATGCCCCCTGACATCAGGCTTAAGACAGTCAGGCCAAATCAAGACAAGAAACAACTCTATTTCTTAAAATGAATCGCTCTAGGTATGCTGAGAACCCATTTTAATCCTCTCTACTGTAAAACTAATGAAAACCTAAAATCCAGTTTGTCTTGCTCATTTCTCTGCCCCCAGATGAAGACCAATGTCTGACCCAGAGCTTGAACAGAACTTTTGTGCACTTTTCTTCCAGCTCATATAGAATTCAAAACTCACTAGTGGTTCATATTTATACATCCTTAAACTTTAATCTGGAAAAGTTCAAAAAACAAAGAAAAGCAGCAAACAAAACAACGTCGAGTTTTAATTTACACTGTGGTGCCCTTCCCCCCACCAAAAACACTTCAACAATGGCTAATCATTGCTCACTTTTTAAATCTTTTAGACCCTCTTTATTCAATTGATTAGCAACCACGAACCTTAGAGGTTTCATCTATTTTTATTTCATAATGGCCAGGGAAAAACTAATACATTCTGAGAAGCAAATGTAAGCAATGATGCTTTTTTGGGAAGTCACATAAAACATAAACTATCAAATTTGTTTGCCACCCAAACCAAAACTACATTTTTAGATATTTACTTCTCTATTTATTCATAGAAACTTCAGAAGGTCATCAAAGGTGTTTATGAATATTAGTGCAATTGAAATAGGTTAACCACATACCCACTAAACAAGGAGGGCAACAATTAACATTTGTTTCTGCACTCCAATTTCTGGCATGGAGTAGACATTTAAGTTAACATTCATTAAATTATTAGCAATGAAATAAAGCTATTAGCCACATAAATCAACAGTAAAACCGAGCCAATGTCACAGATTCCACTAGAAAGTCAAATAGGCAAAAGGTTCTGCATATGGTGGTGATATGGTTGCACAATGTGAGTGTACTTGACCCATACAACTATACATTACCAAATGGTTAAAACAATGAGTTTTATTTATTTGTATTTTTTAATCACAATTCAAAAAAAAAAAAAAAAAAAAGTAAAAGAACAGGATGGCCCATGCCTGTATCCCAGCACTTGGGAGGCTGAGACAGGAAGATTCTGACAGGCCAGCACGGACCACACAGTGACTGATTGAGACAGAGTGAACACAAAGTTTACAAGTTTACAGTAGTGCAACTCCCTATCCACAAGAGTCAACTCTCATATTTACTTTCAATAAATTTTAGGATTAAGTGAAGTGCTGGTGGTGTGGCTCAAATGGTGAAAGCAAAAGGCCTTGAGTTCAAACCCAGTACCAACAAAAATAAATAAAAACAAGCAATGTAGAGAACCTCTGCCTCCAACAGAGCCCTTCCACTTGAGAATTCAATATTTAACAAAAGTCTCATCAGTGAATTAATGAGATTTGAGACAATACTTCCAAGGCTTTTTCCCATGACTGCATTCCATTTCTAAATTGAAGATGGCTTGCTGACAATTCCATTTGATTTGCCAGGCTCTGCAAGCTTTGGAAATTAGTATGCAGCAAAACCTCATGTTCATTTCAGGTTTCTCCTTTCTCAAAACTTAAAAGACAAACCACTTTAAGGACTTAAAAGTATGGCTCAAGCTAGAATTCCTACTTTACAAACACAACAGCCATAAGTTCAAATCCTAATCCCATCAAAAAACCAAAAACACTTTAAATATTAGAATCTGATGTCACCTCTCCAGTTCTGCTAGTTTTCTATAATACAGGGCTTGTAAAATCAAATATCAGCAATCACAGTAAATGCAAAGAGGGTTCTTTCATTTTTCTTGTTTTCACTGAACTTTCAGTTCACAGAACTGGATAATCATAATAAGGACACACTTGTTACCTGTCTAAGTGCATATGGCCTGGTTTTATTTAATTATAACACTACAAGCGCTGTGAATTCAACCGTTCAAAACAAAAGACAGGGATGTGGACAAGAAACCACTCAATCATATGGTCCCATCCACTCATGAGATTCTCCCTAAATCCCCTTCTCGTTAGTTTCCTTCCCCTCACCCTTTTATGTAATTCATTCACATAGGTTTAGTGAGTCTATTCCTTAGAAAGGATGTTACGGCGTAAGTTTAGTTCTCCTAAGCTAGATGAAATACACCATATTTTATTCATTAACTCTCTCCCTGCAAACAAACACATTAACAAGACTCTGCCAAGACAAAGCTTAATAGTTATGTCAGATGATATAATACACTTAATTCATGAAGTGTGGTACCAGGTAAATTAGTAGTAGTATTTTCTTAAAATTTGAATGTATCAAAGACAGCAGGATCAAGTGTAAATACAGACAGCTAGTTGTCAAAAAATTTGCTATTTAGTTCTTTATGGCAACCACCTTTGATCAGTCTAACTGTCTCAAGTTCTTTATTTTTCTGTCTTGAGCCCAGCATGGCTTAGAACTCAATCCTCCTGCCTCTGCTCCCTGAGCGCATGGGATCACAGCAGCATGCCACTTTGCCCAGTCATATGCTTCATTTTTTAAAGAGGACAGCAAAACATGCTTCTGTCAGAATAAGCATGATGATGTTTCAAAATTCCATCTAAGCTGGAAATAATTCTTTTAAACTTCAGGAAAAGAGAACATGGAAGAAGGAAAAAAACCAAAACCAAAACCCATGGCCTTTAACCACTATGACCTCCACATAAACTAACCCCAGTTAGTTTCCACTGGACCACCTATGTTCGAAACAACAACATTGACATGTTATGCTACCTAATGGGTTTACATATCTGTCTTTCCCATATACACAATCTCCTGAAAGGCAGGGGTCTTCTGTCTTCATCTCTTTAGCTGCAGTCGTCATTTGGGGCACTGTAAGCATTCTATAATCATTTCTGAATGTTGCAGTGAATGGGTGGAAAATGTCAATGCATCCACTTACACTACCATGAAACACTAAGATCTGCAGATCTGTGGTTATATCCTCAAGTGGAATTTGATGTAGGTATGGTAAACTTACACTTTATGGCATAATTAATGAGGGAAAAATTACTACCATACAACCAATTATGAGGCACAGTCTGAGTTCTGGACACCTAAGAAGTAGGCTTCATATGAAGAACCTTTCTATCACTAAATACACATTTGAGCATAAAATGAAAGCTACCCCACTGACGCCTGATGAATATGGCAAGTATACACAGAAAGGAACAGGAAGGGTGATTCAGTTTGATGTTCACAAAACATACAACGGCAAACTCCTGCAGTTAGGATTTAGGATGTTTAGGAATTTTTTTTCCTATTCCCCATCTGTGCCACCTTGTCAGTGTGTATTTCCAATCACCCTCACCTTCTGCTATTACAAAAATACTGGTCAGAGGGTATTGAAAACACTACAGTCATATAGAACTTTTTCTATTTGTCATCATGAAAGATTTGAGGGATCACTAGTGTAGGATCATCTGTTCCTTGCTGGAAGATGTTTGAAAATTCACGTGCAGGGAAAAATAGGTAAAAAGAAATTCACTTGAATAGTTACATTTAGGTATACACGATTCTTTCAAAATTCTCCATAAAGGCCACCTTCTTTCCACAGAACTCCACAGCAGAGCTGTTCTTCCTGTTACTCCTTCTCTTATCCATGTGTTAAATTCTTTTGGCATCAATAGTCTTTCTCTTCTAAATGCATGGCGTGCAGCACGCTGATTAACACATTCTTAAAAATGATCTCGGCTTAGGTTACTAAATTTGTTACCATATTCCCTAAAACTCATTTTTATCTCAAAACATTACAGCTTTTATCCAGTAAAAAGTGGGAACTAAGCTGCATCCTTTAAAAATGCCACCTGTCGCGGAGACAGTCTCATTTACTCTATCCATCTGCTGGGTACATGCAGAATCTTGCCCTTAGTTAGAAAATTGTTTTCCTCACATGTCTGGCTCTAGCAAAAACAACTTACCGGACAGGAGGCGTGGCTCATGCGGTAGAATGCCTGCTGACTGCTTTGCAAGCGTAAAGTTCAAACCCCAATCCCTCCCCTCACCCCCAAAAAATCCAAAACAAAACAACAAAAAAACTTCCTTCAATGATGCTTCTTCCTGACTTCTAAAGGGCCTTCACGATCTAACCCGACCAACCTAAATATTCTTACACCTTTCTCGGCCTCACCTGCAGTTTCCAGAACGCATTTGACGCTTTGCTTCCGCTACATTCCCACTTCCTCCTCTGCAGGGACGCTTCTCCCCACCTGCCCTGGTAACAAGAGTCCCCAGGACTCAGAGGAGCATCACCTCCTCTGCCAGGACTTCCAGACACGATCTGGTCAGTTCGACTCGGGCCTGGGTCCTCAACCCTTTACTTAGAGACCAAAGTCCCAGCAGGAACAGAACCTCATTTAACCAATGGCCTCTGTTCCTAACACCTCGTCGGGGCAACAGAAGTTCAAGACTGCTTGCACAGAGAAGCGCTAAGCACGCTTTAACACCTCAAGGGCTGAGGCAGGGCCGGGGTCATGGCTGCCTTCCCGGTCCCCTGTCCCTGTCCCGGTAAGCTCCCGTTCTGGAGAGCTGCCAACATCTGCAACTCTCAGTTCTGGGGCCCAGGAAGAAACGGCTCTTTCCCGACCATCCCTTGAGCCCCGCCAAGGGTCAAACACTCCAGATTGCTGGATCAGTGACCAGGCAACCTGGTCAGGGCAAGGTTCGCCAAGAGGGGAAAGGACAGGTTTAGCCGCAAAGACGGAGACGGACAGAAAGAGTCTGGGTAGCCAGGGCCGGTAGAGGAAACGGCGGCTCAAGAAAGCCTGGAGTTGCAGCCAGGTACAGGCACGCAGGGAGATTTGAGACGGCGGAGGCTGGGGCAAATGCGCCGGATCTCCTCGCGGCGCGCCTAGAGCCGCGGCCTCGCGTCAGCGCCTCCCGGAAGGCGCTCCCGCCCGGGTCTCCGCTCTCGTCAGGCCGCCTTCCCAGGGCCGCTAGAGCGCGACTTACCCGGCCTTCGCGCCGACTCTGCCCATGGGCCACGGCGGCGGCAGAGCGGAGCCCAGCCGCCACCGCCGGAGCCGCCGACGGCCGAAGACCGCTGTGGCGCCGACCCCTCGCTGAGTCCGCAGGGCTCTCAGCGGCGCGGGGTGACGGAACGCGGGCTGCCGGGAACGTGCGCCCGCGCTTCGCTTACGTCTGCGCTGCGCGTGGCCTCGCGGATGCTCGCCGCGAGGCTCCATCGCAGTGCGCCCCTGCAGGTAGGAGGTCCATATGGCATGCCCGCGTAGCCAGCCTCTTCACCGAGAGGTGTCGTGGCACAAGGTTTCCAAATTCGTTATGGTTGTGGAGCAAGGCAATGACAGACACAAGTTAAAGCTGCACTTTCTAGTGGAGAGAAGAGAATCCTCCTAATCCTCTTCTCGTTATTCAAACCATTTGTTTGTAGACAAAGCTGAAAGTAAATCTCTGAAGGCGAAATGCCACCAAAGAATGGCCACCCATATTGAATTAAGATGAAGACTAAGGAAATATACCGAGATTACAGAAAAGAATGTAAATATTACAAAGCTCTAAATTTGAAAGTGGTCAATGACAGAGTAAGAGAAGAGAAAACGGGACTGGGTATAAATATGATTTTTACATGCTTAGTTGGGTGTAAAAAGTATTTCAAGCTGAAAATGAAATTGTGGAGATTTAGGGAAGTATTTTAGCACAAAGGATAATATAATCAGCTAAAATCTGGTGATTAACAGGAGGGGAGTGGAAAAGAAAGAGATATGATAGGGAGGCGATAGAAAAATCTAAAGAAGAGAGAGTTATGGACATGATGTAAGATATAATTATAGCAATCCAGAGCAAAATACAGACCTTTCAAATGATGAAGAAACACATAACAACATAAATATTTGAAAAAGTTGCAAGCAGAAAGCCTAGCAAAGCAGTCACAGAACTCAGACAAATATCTGCCATGAATAAATGCAAATGACTCATAATTACCTGTACAGCTCAGATTGGAGCACAAACATAAGCAACTCCATATTGTATAAAGAAAGTGCTCAAATAAATCAGAGTTTGAAAACAAGACTAGAAATAATACACCAGTGTATGCAGACAACAAAGAAATATATAGCTGGGCCAGGTGCTCACTGTAAACCTACCTACTCAGGAGGCAGAGGTCAGGAGGACCATGGTTGAAGCCAGACATGGACAAATAGTTCCTGAGACCTTATCTCAAAAAACCCAACACAAAAAGGGGCTGGTAGAGTGGCAAAGGTTCAAATCCCAGTACCATAAAAAAAAAGGAAGAAACACTTTAAACAGATTGATTTGGGGGCAACAAGCTTTCCATAACATAAAAAGGATGGTTTATAAAAGAGTATAATTCACAATGAAGAAAAGTTAGGAAAATGTATGCTCCAAATAACATTGGTTAATCCTATTATTTGTAACAAACACTATAGGAGTAAATGAATAGACAAGGTAATTGATATGATTCTTGCCAGATTAAGGCACAAAAAGCAAATAAAGATTGAGAAGACCTAAAAATATAAAAATGTGTAGCTGTAATATCAACATCCATACCCTGAACAGAGATTGTATATTTTCAAGTGTCCATGGAATTTGTAGCATTTGGCCATATTTTAGGTCACATAGAAAAATATCTTGATATACTTCAGTAAGTAAAACAACCTGAATAATTATTTGATCACAATTCAATTAAACTAGAAATTAATGACAAGAAGAAAAACATTCCTATTCTTGAAAATTTTTAAATGTTTAATGTTTGGGTCAAGAAGGAAAACAAGCTGAAACAAGCATTCAGGAGGCTGAGCAGAAAGATATGAGTTCAAGGCCAATTAGAGCTACATGGTACAGGTCACCTGGGCTACATAGTGAGGAGAAAGGGGGGGGGAGGGAGAGAGGGAGAGAGGTAGAGAGAGAGAGAAGGGAGGGAGGGAAGATGGAAGGAAGGAAAGAAAGAAAGAAAGAATGAAAAGAAAGGAAGACATAGTAGAACCCTAGGACTGAACTAAAACAGTATGAAGAGGAAATTGAGAGTTTAAAATTTTACATTAATTAAAAAGTTGAACTAAGTAAAAGAATAGGGGGAACTATGCAAGAAGCTAGAGATAAAACAAAGTAAAAGTTGAAAAGCAGAGGAAGTCACTGGTTTTTAAAAAGGCAGAATAAATGGTGTGTAACGAGAATGAGGATGAAAGGCAGACAGAGGTGTCTGTGCAAAGGCCCTGACTGAGACCACAGCCTAGGATTCCATCTAGGATGAATCTGCTTTTACCAACCCTCTCTAACCTGCCTAATAGCTCCACCTTTCAGTCTGTCTTCCACTTCTCCCTTTTTGGTTGGAATTTTGTGCATTCATTCCCAAATGATTCAATGACAATGTTTTAGTTTAGACTAAACTATAAGTTTAGTCTAAACTATAAGTTTAGTCTAAACTATAAGTTTAGTCTAAACTATAAGTTTAGTCTAAACTATAAGTTTAGTCTAAACATAAGTTAGTCTAGTCTAACTATAAGTGTAAACACATCCATTGTCTGGGAATTTCTACCTTCAAATCTCAGGAGGAAATCTCTCATCTCCTAGTACGTGAAAAGTTATCAGTCTTGTCTCCATTTCCTGTCAACTATAACAAGTATTATTTTTATTTTATAATCTGAGAATCTGAGGCTTTTTTTTTTTTTTTTTTTTTTTTTTTATTTTTTTTTTCATTTTCTTTTTATTCATATGTGCATACAAGCTTGTTCATTTCTCCCCCCTGCCCCCACCCCCTTACCACCAATCCACCCCTCCCGCCCCCCTCAATCCGCAGAAACTATTTGCCCTTATCTCTAATTTTGTTGTAGAGAGAGTAAAGCAATAATAGGAAGAACAGGGGTTTGCTGGTTGAATAGGATAGCTATACAGGGCATTGACTCACATTGATTTCCTGTGTGTGGTGTTACCTTCTAGGTTAATTCTTTTGATCTAACCTATTTCTCTAGTTCCTGTCCCTTTTCCTATTGGCCTCAGTTGCTTTAAGTATGCTTTAGTTTCTCTGCGTTAAGGCAACAAATGCTAGCTATTTTTTAGGTGTCTTACCTATCCTCACCCTTGTGTGCTCGTCGCTTTATCATGTGCTCATAGTCCAATCCCCTTGTTGTGTTTGCCCTTGATCTAATGTCCACATATGAGGGAGAATGGAGGAATTTAATCCAGACCATGAGTTGTTAGGCAGCATAAACAAAATGTGGAGGTTGGGAAGAGGGTTGAGAGGAGAGACCCTGTGACCCCAGCTGAGGCTGGAGAGCAAGCACACAGAGCAACCTCTAGATATATGAGGCCTGTGTTCTCCCAGCAGCCTGGAGGAGGAGGGCAGGCAGCAAAAGATTAGTCAAAAACTGGAAACTGCAGGGCAGATGTTCCAGAAGGAAAGATGAGGGGAATGTATGGGCTATCAGGAAAATGGCTGGGTGAGATGCCACAATGCACAAAATGGACAGAAACTAGAAGTGGGCCAGAAGCAGGGACAACGAAGGGATGGACAGATGTCCTGGACAGAAGACAAATTAGTTAACATGATGATTTGATTTAAATTCTAATTTGATCAAAATAGCATTTCCAAGGATTCTGTGTTCAGGGATCTTTTTATGTCCATGCAGGACAGCTTTTGTTTCATTTTATATATCTCTGGGTAGTTTGTCCATTTTTTTCAAGTTTTTTTCCCTACTACATTCCTTTCTGTCATTCTCTACAGCTTTTCCTGCTCTGTCATGTTTACAATAAAGGCTTATGAAATCCAGTTATGTCAGGAGACACATAATTTACATGGAAGGATCCCATTTTCGCTTTAAAAATATGCAGAAAAACTGTCTAAAAGATCATTGTCAATATGGATTTTTCTAGATAGGTGGGATTATTGTCATTGTTCAATTTTTTTGCCTGTGTGTATTTTTTGTTTCTCAGTAATATTCTTATATTACTTTCATAACAAAAACTATGAAAGGAATGATCAATATTTAAAATATGTAGAACCTTTTCTGAAGCTTTAAAAAAACGTTATCTGTCACTAATTAATGTCTGTTCTGATTCTTTAACAGGTTTTCACCAATTTTAAAATTTCATTGAATGGTTGAAAACTAGTCTTTTTCAATAAGAAATTTACTTTTTAGGAAACAATTTCTTTTTTCTTTTTTCTTTTTTTTTTTGTAGTATTGGGGTTTGAACTCAGAGCCTCACACTTGCTAGGCAGGTGCTCTGCCACCTGAGCACTCTTCCAGCTAGAAAACATAATTCTGAACAGGGGTAGTTCAGTAGTAAAGCACCTGCCTGGCATGCACCAGGCCGTATTTGGTCCTCAGCATTGCAAAGCAAAACAAACCATAATTTTTTGCACTTTTATGCCTTTCATGTAGATATTTTTAAATTCAAGTTTCTATATGCATACACCAAAAATGATAAACAAAATGATGAAATGTCTTTCTCCTTTCCAGTTACTGCTCTTCAAGCAGCAACACCATTGCTGTGAGTGGTGTCTCCTTGGGGGTCTGGGTCCTTTCAGTATGTCCTTGGTGTGTACCAGGGTACGTGAGCAGAAGCACCTCTTGCTCCAGCACTTTGAAGAAGTACTGCTCTTAGTGGCAACCTTCATGTGGTCCCAATGTGTGATCAGGTCATCAAAGCCAGATACTGACTTTCGTGTGCAATCGGGAAATGAGTTTATCTGTGAACTGAGGGTTTTGAGGGATTAGTAACACTTTCAAGTTACACTCTCTCCTTCTGTGGAGCAAAAGTCTTGCAAAGTGACACAGCTCAGCATAGAGGTAAAACATAGTTAGGATGGTAGGGGAGAACCACTGCCATCTATGTGCTGGGGACCTTAGCATCAGTCATATCATTTATTCTCATTCAATGACAATTCTGTTTTTCAGAACAGAAGACTGAGACTCAGAGGGAACTCCTGAAGTTAGGCAACTAGTAAATGATTGAACTGTGATGCAAACAGAGGTCTGCCTGGCTGAGGTTGGGTGCTTTTCACTGTATTTGGCTGGCTTACACCTAAGTTAAAGGCAATTTAACTAAGGAGCAGGACAGCAATGCCCCACAAGGTATGTTTCTGACACTGGACAGTTCAGTTTCTATAGTCCCTTGAACACT